TTTGTCTCTATCACTGGACAGGTTTGTCTAAATATGGCGAAAATGACACGCAGGCTACCCTTTGGACATTTGCGTGACAGGAATGACCACCCGGATTACCCTGGAGGATAAAGGGATACCCACACCGGCACGGCGTAATCTACTGTGGCCTGACCACCAAATAACCACCCATCCTGCAGATCCAGTGCCCCCTTCCTCGAGATGCGACCTTCCGTTACCGCTATTAGACTGAGTGTGTACAGTCGACATAATCCGACTTTTTTCCGCCCGAAAACAAACGAACGTTTCTATAGGCAAGACGGAATCTATCCTTTGTAAGAATTTGTTGGAATTGCGGAATTCACGGTTCCTACCTGTCTGGTAATTTGAACGGTAACCGCTTACTGCGCAATTCATGCCTGTGAGAGCAGTAAATTTTTGGACAAGTTGGAAAACAATACAATCAACGGGCCGGTTTTGTCATTGGATCACCTATACCTCTAATCGTCGCTGAAATATACATGGAATAATTCGAAGCAATGGCTCGGGGAGTAGCAGCACTTCGTGCAGCGATAGATCCGGTGATGACACTTTGAGCCTATGACAACAAACGTTAAACCAATTCGATGACTTCTGAGAATACCTAAACAACATTCACGAGAAAATCGAGTTCACCCACGAACTAGAAGAAGACGGAATGCTTCCGTTTCTGGATGTCTAGTGCATAAGCTTATAGATATTGCAAAAAAGACCGCCTGTAAGAATCCTACGCACGTCGGAAAATGTGCATCTATGTATCCCGCTCATTGGAATTTGTGACAGCTGTTCTGGTACCTACCTTGTAGCTCTGAAACGTACAAATATGCTGGAATCCCACTGCAATATAAGAGCAGATAACTAGCAGCTCAATGAGTTAAGTGAAAACCGCTACTCGTAGCCTTGCATTCTGGAGCAGTTCCAAACGGTAAGATGACAGTTGAACAAAATGAATTATGACCTAACCGTTTACTCGTCTTACAACTTTGACGGCAACCGTCTATTGGTGATCACCTTCCAAAGGAACCTGAGTGAAAGTATACGGCGGTTCATAACAGTTCATATGCGGCGTTAGGACAATATGCCATTCTATGCGGAGGCAAAGGGTCGTCTGTATAAGAAAGAGATTCTATCACAACAAGATACTCCTATGGAGTCTCAGCTGCACTTATGGCGACATCTATTGAAACTATTGAACATCTATTGAACTCGAGACGGAAACTCAAAAAACTGGATACTGGACCATATTGCTCACATATGCAGAGCAGCCCATGAAGGTTAAGCGAACGCAGAGCACGGCATCGCCATAAGATTCGGAGCACCTGTTGTGAAAGCCACCATATTTTAAGTGTTGAGTAAGTGGGGT